CCACAGAAACAGCTGACCTGAGCAAGTGGGAGCTCATGGGCCCAAGACTGACAGCTGGGAAACCAGCATAGGGCCAGCCCAGACCCCCTGAACTGGATGTCAGCTGAGCAGCCTGGGCAGTCTATGGGGCCTCTGGCAGTGGAACCAGTATTTATCCCTAGTGCACGAATGGGCTTTTTGAAGCCCATTCCCCATGGAGTGATACTCTCTCAGTCTAGACACACGGGGGAGGGCCTAAGCCCTGCCCCAAATGATGAGACAGACTTTGGTGATTCCCCCATGGGAGGCCTCACCCTCCTTGAGGAGTGGGTGGGAGGGTGGGATGGGGAGATGATAGGGGGAAAGGGAGGACTGGAGGGAGAGGGAACTGGAATTGGTATGTAAAATGATACTTTTTAAATTTAAATAAATATTAACTTAAAAAAAAACTTGTTTCTCTGCTTACCCAGGATTCTGTAATACTTTAAACAATGTACCCATTATATCATATTTAATAATTTTTTCTATTAAAAAATACCCTTTGAAATAAGCGACACGAATAAGGATAGGTGGGTAGAGAAGAGAAGCCTATTTATTAACTCGCAGGCATGGCGAAGCACACATAAGAGATGTCATAAGCCTAACACAGCAGGAATGAGATTTCTTTCCGTGGACCACCACCCACAGTGCTATAGTTGACAGTGGCACGTCCAAAATCCAGGTGCTGACAATGTGATAGAAATAAGGAAGGCGAAGACTTTAACAAGCGACCAGGCCATGAGGCTGCTTCCTCATCCCAGCGCCTGGCGGTTTACGGTGTCTTTCCTCCCTGCCTTCTACCATATGAGGGCACGCTAAGAACCACACCAGATGCCAGTGCCTTGGCCTTGTACCGCCCAGCATCCAGAACCGTGAGAGACTCATTTCTGTTCTTCATCAATTACCCTGCATCAGAAATGGCATCAGAAATGGGTTGATAACTGGACAGGCGAAAAATTAAGTTTCACTATGTCCAGGGTTGTTGAGGATCTAAAAACACTATATGCTTATGAATATATTTATAAAGTAAGTACAGCAAGCAGGAAGAATACAAAAGTCCTAGTCACACTCAGGCTAAGGATAGAAATATTAGATAATTTTAAATATTTAAAATTTTATGCCTTTGGTATTTGCCTTAAAAATTATATTAACCTATAAATGGCCAGGAAGTATTTAAGTACTAATATCTTGAAAACCAGTAGAAAACAAAACAAGGGGTTAAACAGAAAGTGAAAAATAAGTAAAGCATCATAAACACAGATACAACGGGAGAAATCTAAATAGCTAATTCTTATAAGTAAATGGATTAAGTTCATCACCACAGTTATGTTTTTAAAAGTCAGTCATATGGTGCTGCTTCTGAGACACTATAAAACAAAAACAAAAAAGCTCCAGGAGACTGGGGTCCTGTGGGGTCCTGTGGGGTCCAGCGTAGCACCTGCTCAGCCTGTGGAAGGGTCAGTCCCTAGCAGTGAAAAAAAAAAGTCACAAATAAACTAAAACCACACTATCACACAGATACAGTGGTAATAATATACTAGGAAGTGGTATTTCCCTTAAAATAGATTAAAGCTAAAAGCTTCCAAAAGGAAGCAGGCTTCCATAACAGTTTAAGAGAAATTATTGATTTTTAACTTACAATTATATACACAAATTTATGAACACAACAACATAACCTGGGACTATATGAAAATGTTGGATCCTAATTATTTTTTGGAGCTGGAAAATTGCCTTTTCACTCTGGCCTTAATATGCCAGTCTGCGCTTTTACTGACCACCAAGAGAAACAAGAACATGGGGAGCACAGGGCGCATGTCCGGCAGATCACAAAGGACAGTGTCGTGGGGGCTACTGTCCCTCGCCATACTGGACGCCTCTTGTCTTTGTGCTTCAGGCTGGGAGGTGTCCATTAGCAGGGTGGCATTTGTGTACACACGGGAAGTGTAACCGTTAGACACGTGGACCCATCTAATTTTTCCAGACTTAAGACTTTCCAGACTTTGCTATTTTGTGGGAACACCTAACCAACTAGTCAGCTAAGACAAGGATTCTGTCCAAACGGAGTATGTGAGAATCCAGCCTGGTACTGTACTGTATGTGCAGCCTCAGAGGCTGAGACAGGAATGACAAGTTCCTATCCAAAGAGGGAAAGAAGGGAAGGGTATAAACCATAAGTTAATACCAAGAACCAATATTTTCTCTTCTTTCCACCCATTACTTAGTAGCTGCTGAAGAGAACAATGGCTATTAGTGGAAAATAGATTTTTGTTACACTTGAAGATTTTTTTTTAAATCCTAAGTTGTATCTCACTTGCATGCTAAGTTCTACTAACAGCAGTTTTCATATCAATCATAAGAACATTCCAGATCATTAATAAGAACAAATAGGAATCCTGCTCCACTGAATGTTTAAAATCACTTGTTCTCTATGACTGTTTACTTTTGAGATTGTCCATACCGACCCTCTTACCTATTTAAGCACACAGGTCTTTCACATATGAGACTTCCTACTTCCTGTCCCCACCAGAGAACATTTTCTACAGCAGCAGCCGTGCATTTATAGGAACCCGTTTCTGGAAAAACAGGCCATGGCTGTCCCAGACGCCCAAGACCAACAGATAGGGGGAAAGTAATGTCGTGATTGGAATAGCAGTGTGTCAAAGCAGCAAGAGGGTATCTGTGGCATTCTATTCGAATTCCTACTCTTTTCTAAAAGTATGTTCTGGAGAAGCTTCCTACAGTCTTCTACTCCCACTCCTCCTCTTCCTCTTCCTTCTGCTAATCACACAAAATGCCATGCAGACCAGGTTCCGGCCAGAAACAGAATTCTATTTCTCAAGACAATTTAATGAGCACACCATCTATGAAAGAGTAGCAGAGACAGGAATTAATGGGAGATGGAGTACTCCCCTGGACAAGAAGGCGAGAAGACCACACCTTCTGCTGAAGAGACCAGCGCTATACCCCCAGAGCCCCGTAATGCTGGGACTAGCCCTGGGGAGTCTGTCTGCTGGAGGACACTGGCCCTGGTCGAGCCTGCCTGCTGCCCTGAGGAAGTAAGCAGGGAAAGCAAGCCCTGAGCTTGTCCTCCTGGAGCCAGCTACACCCCCTCTGTTCCCAGTGGGTGCCTCTCATGGGGAGAAAGCAATCAGAAAGCAGAATAGGGTAGCCTTCATCAGAGTGGGAGCTAGGAACACAGAGAGTGGGTTTGAGCCGAGGGCAGTGAAGACAGTGATTAATGCAACCAGGGTGTCAGATTTCACGCAAGGATAATTCTAATTTTGTCAAAAGTGATAAGGGAACATGAATTAGATGTTTAAAGTAACTGTCTTGTGGTGGTTGACAACAAATCATTTTATTTTGCATAGTGTTTGAAAACCTAAAATGGCCATGTATGCCTTTGAATATTATCTTAGAATTTAAAAAGTGCTAACGGGATGATGTGTTGAATTTTCAATTTTGTAGGGGAAAAAAAAATCTTCCTGGGTAGAAGGAGGGTGTTTTAGAGGAAAATCAAGGCCAGACGAAGGGCCCCAGGGTCTTTGTTTCTCAGAACACTATTGGTGGTGTAATGTTTGGTGGGGGTCAGATGTACCCACTTCCGGTCCTTTAATCCTCTCCTACCTGTTAGGGTCCTGTGCCACAATGCTAATCTGTGAGATTCCATTTCTCTAGCAATAATGTCTCATCCTAGACTTCGCATCCCAAATGTCAGCCGTGGACATGAATAGTAGTGGATATTAATAGTGGATATTAAAAAGTAGCAAATGTCATTCTCAGAGTTTGATTTCTGATTGTTTTTTTTAAACCTCCCTTCCTGTCTTCCCTGTTTTAGCTGGACTCCAGGGGAGCCGAGATGGCGGAGTACAGAAACAATGTTGCTGTTATCGACAAGGGGGTGCAGTAACAATGTTGCTGTTATCAACACAGAGTGCAGTAACAATGTTGCTGTTATCCACATGGGGGTCATCCACACTGAGTTCTCCTTCTATTCTTGGCACAGTCCTGGGGCTCCTTGTCAGCCCAGTTTCAGTGCCCCAGGGAACTGAAAGCAGCCGCTTCCTCCACAGAAGTATTTAGAATGGTCAGGATGAGATAGCAGATATTTGAAATGCCTATGAGCAGCTGTGAAAGGCTTGCTTTCCAAATCTGGAATTCTTAACGCTACCAGCTCAGTCTTGAGTCAAAGCAGCCGTGTGGGAGAGCAGAGGCGCTAGCCTAGTCGTGACAAGCATGCGGTGGGTGTGTGAGCTCAGGTGTCCTCTCTGACTGCACGGCTATTTAAAACTTTAGAGCAGCAGACAGCAGATGCGTGGCGCTTGCTCTCTCCGCTTCAAATCAGCTAGGGTTAAGACTTAACTGAACTCAGCGGTTCAACCAAAGTTTTAGTTTACTAGACCTAACTTATGAGTCAATATGTACTGTAGGTTAACAAATAAAACACCCAAGTGATATACACTGTCTACAGGCAAAACTCCTGGTAGGGTTCAGCTTAGCTGATGAGGTCTGGGTGGGAACTTTTAAAAACTAAGATACCTGAAAATTCCCACTGATGTTTGGGGCAGGGAGCAACAGCTGTGGGGACTCAGTAGGTTTCAGACCCAGTTCCCAGGCACCACATTCTAACTGACTCTATAGTTACAAGGGTCCTCTTTAATTAAAACACCCAGAGATAAAAGCTCCTCTCTGAAAGGGCCCCCAACTCTTTCCAGCAATGCAGCAGCAACTTTTCGTGAAATGAGTAAAAATAGAATCTCTTTACTGAACATGGCGGCTTTGCCATGGATCATGCAAACTGCCTCTCTGGAAGTGTTAGACTCCTTGAGAACAATGCTAGTACCAAAGTACAGATTGCTAGTTCTCCGGCGATTCCGTTGCGTAGGTAGCAGCATTTCGAACTGAACAAACAAACACATTCGGAACCCTTCCTTTCTGACTACCGATAAGAAAGACAACTTCCACATACCAGGAGCTGTGGATATATTCTTTAATCTTCATAAAAGTTACAGCAAACCATCTCAAAGTCGCGGGCTCCCGTCTTCCTCCTGCGCTATGGACAAGAACCGAAAAAGTTTTACTTGGTCCTGAGTGGATCCTTTACCTCCACCACCAAGATTCCATCGTGACAGAGAATGGCAGACAAATCTTTGGTTTCGACGCCGTCCGGCAGTTTGTACTGTCTGGTGAAACTCCGGGATATAAACCCGTGCTCATCCATTCTGGGTCCGTGCTGCGCCTTGATCAGCAGCCAGCCTTCGAAGGTCTGGATGATGATGTCCTCCGGCAGGAACTGGACCACGTCCAGGAGTATCTGGAACCGGGATTTGCCCTCTCCGGGTGGCGTCGCGGTGGATGCTGAGTCCTCTGCAGGAGCTGGCAGGGTGCCTCTGGCTTTCCTCAGGTCCTCGATGGTCGGCCCGGGCAAGGCATACAGAGCATGATCCAGCCTGCAGTCTTCCAAGCCTCGAGCTTCGAACTCCTCCTGATAACGCACTGGGGTCTCTATGAGGTGCCTCAAGATGATTTTCGCCATAGCAGAGGCAACTTCAGCGTTGAACAGCTTCCCTTCCACGAGTGTCCAGCCCCTGGTGGTGTCTGCAGACTCGATTCCCAGTCCTAGCAGCTTCGTTTACAGCTCTGTGCAGACAGCCGTTTAATTGGGCCTGAATCAGACCTTGCCTTTTCGCACACACTGACAACGAATGGCTATTTATAGCCGCCTCTCTGAGTTGCATTTAGCTCACAGCCTGCATAAGCCGGCCAGGCAAGGATCACTCTTACATGCCGTTAGCCTTGGCAGTCCTGTCCGCCTTGCTCACCCCAAGAGACAAAGTGGACACCAGAGGCTTGAAGATCTCCAGGTGCGACCTCCCCCTCCCCGTGAACCACGAAGAGCCATGAAGAGTGTGTTCATCTCCGCACCCGCTAGTAGGGCCTCTCCCCGCCTGCAAATCCCAAGCTGAGGGAGAAGATTCTAGTTGTGGTTTATGAGAAACACACACACACACACACACACACACACACACACACACACACACACACACACCATCAATTTCAAACAGCCAGTGAACTCTACGCCCTTTTCACGTTCCTCTCTTTTTAGTCTTTTGTGCTTAAGGGACATCTGAGCCACTCATACGGTTTTTGTACATTTGACTCAGCACTGGGAGAGGATTAATCTAGTCAATGCCCTGCTATTGAATGGGCAAAGATAAACCATGTCATTTCTCAACTAAAGCAGCTTCCATTGAAAAAGGAAGGAAGATCTCCACGGGTTCTACAGCCCTGCATTTGACTACCAATGACTCTACACTTGGCTATGACGAAGGCAGTCTAAATTTATTGTCTATGTCATTTTCCTTAAGCTCTCTAACATTCCACATAAACCTGGCCGCAGGAACAAAAGGCAACTAGTTGTTGACTTGTTTGTTAACTACCTTACGAGTACAAACAGGGTTTCCCTGAACTGTTTCCTGAATTCTCAGCAGAAGCCAAATTACTCTCAGGAAGGAGGCAAAAACTATAGATTTAATGGGAAATGGGGGGGGGGGACAGAGATATAGATGGAGAGAGTAAAGTCTCAGATACTGTATAATTGTACAATGGTTTGTGGGTCTCTAGAGTCACAGGACACAGAGATATATGTGACATATTTTCATGGGGGAGACAGAAGGGAACTAGGGTAGAAAATAACCAGAGATATCCCTAGAAATGGGACAATGGTCCAGTAATTAAAAGATAAGAAACACTGTATAGTCAGTCTCCTTTGCTAACTGCTTACAAAGCTTCTAGTGTGGGGGAGGGGTGCCAATAATAGTTAGGCTAGGAATCTGAGAAAGTCCTCTAGAAAGAGCCATGCAATGGCATATTTGGGGTACTTAGCCAAAAAGAGCATCATGTTTACAGAAGACAAGGGTGTCTGCACAACATTATGTAGACTTTAAAATGAGGAGTGAATTTAGGGTAGAGAGGCCAGCAGAGTCAGAGCGGGAAGCCTAATGCTTGGTTAGTTGTTTAAGGAGTTGACCAGAATTCTTGTTCTAAAGAAAAAAAAAATCACATTTTGATAATCAAAAGGCTAGTTGAAGTATTATTTTTTTTTTCCAAATGAAATTTAGACTCTAGCCTAGAATAAGGGAGTTAAATCTGTGCTTGCCACCATGACCCACTAAGGACATGCATGCATCTGGTATAGGTCATTCAGCCTCACATGCCAGAAACCATCTGATGATGACCCAAATTGATTTCCCAACCCCAGATTGATCACAAGTAATAGTTAAAACAAACAAACAAACAAACAAACAAAAAATCCACTCAAATGTCTACAGCATCAATCAAGGTAGTGACAAAAATTTTATTGTATCTTGGTAAAAAAATTTCCCGTGTATAATTTAATGCTTGATTTGACATTCTGTCTGTAGCTGTGTGTATGACTTTGAGCTGGTAAAGACGGAAGCAGAGAGAAGTATGGCTCAGTAAGGTGGCGGGGGGGGGGGGGGAGACGGACCCAGCTCAGGAGCAAGAGTCAGTGGCAAAGCAGATATAAATTAAAGCACAATTTGTCAGGGCCTGTTCGCCGCCTTCAGGGTACAGCCTCAGACAGCTCCGGTGAGGAGAGAGAGGCAGAACCAACCAGGATCTAGCGTCTGCTTGGTTTGCTCTTTAATGAGACACTTTTAAGAAGACAGACTATTGGTCCGTTTGAAAGAACTGAATAGCAAGAGGTCTGGTTGGGCCTTCATAGATGGCGTGTCTGTCTGATCCCTGTGTGGCCAATACTCTATTTCAGATATTTCTTTTAAACTCAATAGTTCCTGCCTGCATCCTCAAGTTTCCCTCCAGTAAGGATCTATTCCACGATGAGACCCAGTGTCCACTAACCCTTATGGGAGTTAGGAGGGGGGTTTCATGTACTCTATCCATCTGAGTAGAGAGCTCTTATTTATGATTCTGTGAGGGCGGGGCATAAAACTAATTTTCAGTGAAACCCAGATGGTATGTAACTGAGTAAATTCCGAATTTCTGGACACAGAAGAGTGCTTTTGACAATGTCACTGAATATTCAGTTCAGTATGTCTACACTCCTCAAATGAGACCAGCCTGAAGCATATGTCATAAAGCGTATGTCTGGAGTCCATTTTAACATCGCTCTATGAAGAAATAGCTTCTAACATGTCATACGCCCCTTTGAACGGCTATGTATTTTTAAATGTGGTATGACATGTTAATTTCAGACTGGAAAGAAACAGATCTTTTCAGGATGTGAACTGAACTAAGAAACCAAACCCAGATTTGTCGTGATCTGGTGGTCTGAGGCTGAGGAAGAAGGGGCCCTTTTATCGTGCTGTGACTGCCATCTGGTGGCTGAGACTGGAATGTCACGAGTGGAAGGCTGATTCTTGAGAAATAACTGGAATTCCAAACAAGGAATTCTTTCTTTTGCCTTCTGACTACATTTTCCAAGTGAGTGTGTGCATGTGCTGACTTCTTATGGCCTATATTATATGGCAGGAGGAGAAAATGGAATGGGAAAAGTTCAAGGATGGATTTCAAACTCTTGCTTTCTGATAGAAAACTAAGCTTGTATGTTCTCTCTCTCTCTCTCTCTCTCTCTCTCTCTCTCTCTCTCTCTCTCATCTATTCCTCCCCTGACCCCTGACTCAATCTTCCTAGTCCCACGTGCTTTCCTATCCTCACCTTCTCTTTCTCCTAGCTCCCTCTCCACTCACTACCCCCTCCCCCCCACACACACCCAATATGCTCAAGAGATCTTGTCCCTTTCCCCTTCTGTGAGGGACTTTATATGAATCTCTTAGAATCCTCCTTGTATCCTAGTTTCTCTGGTGGTGTGAATTATAGGCTGATGATCCTTTGCTCTAGGTCTAAAATCCATATATGAGTCAGTACATACCATGCTCCTCTTTTTGCGACTAGGTTACCTCATTCAGGATGGTTTCTTCAAGTTCCATCCATTTGCCTGTGAATTTCAAGGTGTTTTTTTTTTCTCCGCAGAGTAGTATTCCGTTGTGTAAATTGCCACATCTTCTTTATCCATTCTTTAGTTGAGGGGCATCTAGGTTGCTTCCAGGTTCTTGCTATTACAAATAATGCTGCTATGAACATAGTTGAACAGATGTCTTTGTTGCATGGATGTGGATCATTTGGGTATATGCCTAAGAGTGGAATTGCTGGGTCCTTTAATAGACTGATTCCCATTTTCCTGAGGAACTGCCATACTGATCTCCAAAATGGCTGTACAAGTTTGCACTCCCACCAGCAGTGGAGGAGTGTTCCCCTGTCTCCACATCCTCTCCAGCATAAATTGTCATTGGTGTTTCTAATTTTAGCGATTCTAGCAGGAGTAAGATGGTATCTCAGAGCTGTTTTGATTTGCATTTCCCTGATAGCTAAGGATGTTGAGCACTTTCTTAAGTGTCTTTCAGCCTTTTTGATTTCTTCTGTTGAGAATTCTCTCTTCAGTTCTGTACCCCATATTTTAGATTTGAAGAGAAAACTGACTCTAGAGAAATGTCCAGAGACCTACAACACTGACCCCAACTAACAATGTGAGCAACAGTGGGAAGGCTACCGTAAATGCCCTTCCCTGATAATGAGATCAATGACTAATTTATCCACCATCATAGAGCCCTCATCTAGTACCTGATGGAAACAGAAGCAGACACCCACAGCTAAACACTAAGCCTAACTGGAATCCAGATGCAGACAGGGAGGACAAGACCAGACTACAGAAACCCACAGAGACAGCTGATCTGAACAGGGGAAGCTAATGGACCCCCAGACTGATAGCTGGGAAACCAGCATTGTACTGACTCAGACTCCCTGAACAGTTAGAAGGCCTGGACAGTCTAAGGGACCTCTAACAGTGGAACCAGGATGTATCCCTGGTGCACAAAAGGACTTTGGGAGCACATTCCCCATGGAGGGTTACTTCTTTAACCTAGAGGCAGGAGGGAGGGCCTAGTCCCTACTCCAAATGACTTGACAGATTTTGTTGATTCCTCCTGGAAAGCATCACCCTTCCTGTGGAATGTGGGGGGGAATGGGATGGGAGGGTGGTCCAGGGCATAGGAGGGAGGGAGAGAGGGAGAGGGAACTGGGAATGATATGTAAAATAAGAATATATATATATGTGTGTGTATATATATATGTATATATATATATATATATATTAAGCTTAATATATGTGCGTTCCACATAAATGTACCCAGAAAGGCGTCAAAACCGTGCAATTAAGGAAAACACTTGAGGAATGTAGAGACTTCTGGGATCACCTTTATTCTGTCCTTTATCTACTTGAGTCAATGTCAAGTAACAATCCCTTTGAGGCTTGCCTTCTTTCTTGCTGGCAAAATAGGAAAGTACAGATTTTGGAATTTCAATGGGGTTAAAAATGAAATAAAATGCAATCCTGGAACTCTATGCACAGTAAGTGTGCACGCAGAGCTAGACACTTTGGAATATAACATCACTGAGGATGTGGTCCTGTGGAGGACAGACTATTGCGTGCAGACCAATTGTGAGTCAGTGGCTGTGCTATCATATTTCTTTAAACACTCT